ATGAGCATAGATTCGGCCACGAATGAATCGGATCCAAACATGTGCTTCCTCTTTTGGCAACAACTAGTCATCCTTGTGAGACTTCTATATCGTATGTGCCGCAGCGGGATAGTATTTAGAAGTTATCAGAGGAACCAACTCAAAATAAGGATAGTTTTTGGCTGTGGTCGCCCTTGAAAGGCGTCATGCGTCCAATAGATTCGTAGTGGCTGTCTAAAGAAGAGTCGTCCACTGCTCCCATTCAGTAATTTAATTGCTACTACAAGGTGTAGTATAGCGCCTCCATTCAACTCTCTACGTGTGGGCTAGCATTACACATAAATAAACCTAATGTAGCGCTGAAAAGCGGGGTAGCGGTACGTCTACCCGAGTGCTCCCGGCAAACGGCAGCGCTTTCGCTGCAATTACCATATCTATTCACTAGAAATTCAAATTTTCCCCTCTATAGAACGCGACTGCACGGGATCGGGTGCGGCGAGCGCGGCGTGCTGTTGAGATAGAAGGTTCATATCCCTGAAGTCAATACTTTTCCCCTAACAAGTGAGGCTGACTTAGAGCCATCTCTCCATGAAATTGTTATAGCCATCAAACCATTAGGTGAGTACCGAGTTAGGCCAGCTTGTTCCTTGGATAAGATAGGTTTGAGGCAAGCAGACATGAGAGGCACCCTTAAGTTCTAAACTTAACCAACGTACTTCCAAATAAAATAGGTCTACAAGCGGCACCTGGGCCTTTCCGGGGTACTGGAATTACATTCTCGTCGGTAGCCTGGGTATCGTATCAGGAGAAGTTGCTGGGGAATGCATTCGGAAAAACGACAGTGTGATCATTATGTCTGAGTGTATAAACATATGTTTTACATATCATATATTGATCCTTTTCTTTCTAAACACCCAAAAATTACTTACCACACGTATGATTGAAGCCAAAGCCGCAGCACTAAACTGGCCTGACCAAAGGTTTTTCGTCATATCTTCGCCATTCAGGTCAATGGAGTACGTACTTAGACCAGCGCAAAACCACCTTAGTTTCTAATTTTTCAAATATGAACCACACGAAGCAAAACCAAGTGAGCAAAGCAGAAAAAGGAACAGATCAGACTTTGCATTTTAAAATTGGGTTTTTTCTGATAAGCCTAAGAATCTTACGATCTGCAACTTCCAGCAAAAAATAATGTGAACGTAGGTACAGGATGCGCCACATAATTTCAAGCAGGTTCATTGAAACCTCACGTGAGCGAAGCTGAATTCCCAAATTGAGCAGGTGCCACAGTATGATGGACACTCCGACAATTAACATTTAGTAGTTCTAATGAGTACTTCAACTGCTCGACTTATAGAAGCTCAAAAAAGTCAGCTAAAGTCGACAAGCTGGGTCGAACTGTACAGGCACTTCTACAGAAATGACGGTTTCAGCTGCATTGTCATACAGAAAAGAGGTAATCAGAAAGTGCGTTTCGTTCTCCTTCATGAAAGTTGCTCCTCGTAATAAAACTCAGGGCACAGTTCACGATTGAGATGGTTTGTGAGACTTCTTTCTAGATTGAACCTATCTTCAGAATAGCCTAAGACGCTGGTGGGTCGAGAAACGGCTAAGATATGGTATAACAAGGGTCTCACAGCCGGCTTAGTCGACGTACACTCAAAAGGCGGCGAGTTCTTATGTGTTGTATAATAGAAAGTTTAGAGGTTGCACCATTCGCACCGGTGCACGCAGGCAGCTTACTACGGCCAGCTGTACACAATGGTGTGCGCATTTGAACAGCTCGTCCGGATACCACTGCAATCTTTCCAACTTCTACCACCAGGTTCCGTCTAATCCAATTCTATTTTTTTCTGGGTGCGCTTCGTTGCGCGCGTCCATCAAAATTAGGTCACGCTGCAGCCGTTGCATGCGGCGTGTCAGCCCGACCTAGTTTAGTGCCTATCAGTACGTTGCAGTTGTCAGGTGGCATACGATTTGCGCTTGGTCCACGGCAGACAGTTCAAAGGGAAGATTACACGAACTAGTGCAATTCATTTGCTCCACTGACACTTGGTAGTGTAATGTCATTTCGAGACCTCAGTGGGCTGCGCCGCGCGCGAATCGGGCGGGATGACCTAGTCCCGACGATGCACCACGGACGTTCCCCTAATTCTAGGCCTTACATTTCTCTAGATACGCTGATTTCGCATTTTCATCGATAATTTCGCTATATACCCCTATTACTTCCATTATCAATCTTAACCACATGTTCCGAAATTATCTTTTACTAGGCTTCCGATATTCGAATGTTTGAATTCTATGTAGAGAAGACCAATAGAAATGCTATTTTTTAAGTATGTAAAGTGCTCGTGCACCACGTGCTAGAGCCTGGCAAATTACACGTGGATATTCATGCCAAAAACAGTGACAGAAATGGGCCTCATTCTCCTGAAGAGGGAGCCCCCAATACGGCAGCGTTGGGTAGGATCGCTCGGGAGAGGCTACTAAAATTTTAGGGTCAAAACCGGCTGCCTAAAAGAAGAAGGACTAAGATGGCGATCTGCACTTCCAACGCACGGACGCTTGCATCGGAAGCGTGTATTGAAGACCTGATGATGCAAGCTAGGAAAATCAAGTACGACGTCATCGGACTGACCGAGATGAGAGGGCAGCGCCCGCTGCACGCTGTATTTGAAACTGGAGAAGAACTGTTCCTTGGAACGTGCGACAGTAGAGGCGTCGGCGGTGTAGGTGTCCTTGTAAACACGCACTTGGCCATGAACATCGATTCGTAGGAAAGCTTAACAACCCAAATCGGACGTTTGCGATTGAGAAGATGTGGCTCAACCCCAGCTTTAACAGTCTTCGTTGTTTACGCACCAACATCGAGCTACGATGAGGAAGAGCTGGAGGCGTTCCATATGGATCTGAAGAAGCTCTACAGAGAAGACCATACTTCCTTCAAGGTCATCGTCGGCGATTTCAACGCCAAGTTTGGACCCAGAAGAACGGCTGAAGAGTTCCACTTCGGGACGCACGGAATGGAATGGAATGAGCATGAAGAAAGGCTATCCGAGTTTATCATGTTGACCCACACTATCCATGGTAACTCGCAGTTCCAGAAGCCCCCTCATTCCCGATGGACATGGGAGTCGGCTGGTGGGCAGTTCATAATGAAATAGATCACATCATCGTCAATCGGAAGTCTTGCCTGTCTGACGTCGCTGTTGTTCCGAAGTTCTACACGGTCCGCTTTTTAGTGTGTGGAGAGAGAGCTGCGAAGTTCAGGAAGCCCGAAGACTGTGGTCAATTGGGGTCACTTCGCTCCATTGGCGAGTTTCTGGGAAGATTCCGTCAACGATGATGTGACGGAATCTTCCCACAAACATGAGAGAATACGACCGGCTCGTCGAACATCTTCACGATTGCGCCAGGAGAGCTGAGAATCTCAAAGCTATCAAGAAAGTCTCATATCGAAGACTGCGTGGAATCGCGCGAGCTGCAGGCAATAACCAGCTAACGTCCGAACTTGCGAAGCTATGCAGAGAAGCGATAAATGAAGACCTGAATGAGATAAGAGCAGCAGTTTTGGCAGAAGCCGCCGAGGTTGGGAAGAGCATTCGCAAAGCCCGCCGGAGCTTCGTTAATTATAAGACCAAGATGACTTCCCTTCGTCGTCCTGACGGAACTGTTAAGGCATCCCGAAGGGCAATCTAGAAGGTCATCTACGACTTCTGATCTCTTCGAAAGCCTCGTCTACATGCCTACCTGCCCTTAGGCAAGAAGGATACGTCGTCCCTTCAGTTCTCTCTTTCGAAATTCGACATGCCATCACGTCGATGAGGAATGGTACAACACCCAGTCCCGACAGGATCAAAACAGAACACCTGAAGAGCCTTCCGCCAGTCACTGTCAAAACCCTGGCCCGGCTTTTCACGCGGTACCTGTCGCAATGCAAAGTGCCCCCACTTCGTGGAAAACTAGCAAGACCGTGTTGCTGTATAAGAAAGGAGATACAGACGACATTGGCAATTATGGCCCAATTTGCCTGGTGTCTGTAATCTATTATATAAACTCTTCACAGCAGTCATCCTTAACAGGGTTGGCAGAATATTAGATGAAGGGCAGCCATGCGGGCAAGCAGGGTTTCGAAGAGGGCTCAGTAAATCGATCACATCCACACGGTTACAAGACTTATTGAAGTACCGCGGGATTATGAAGTGCCGTTATGTCTTACGTTCAATGATTCGATACCGTCGAGACAGAGGCGGTAATTGAAGCCCTAGGCAACCAGAAGCTACTCAATAAATAAGGATGCTTTGTGATCTCTACAACAACTTCACAACAGAATCTCGCCATTCTACAAAGAAGTCATCATCAACGTGAAGAGAGGGGTTGGGCAGGGCGATACCATTTTGCCCAAACTTTTCAGTGCCGCTTTCGAGAACGTCATGCGTCATATGGAATGTGAAAGCATGGGACGGTCGCTACTCACATCATCTCCGCTTTGCAGATGACATCGTGCTTGTAACACCCAACATCGCAGACGGAACAAATGCTGGCTGAATTCGGCAACCTTTGTGGAAAGGTCGGCATGAGACTGAACGTAACGAAGACGATGTTCATGCGGAACGGTTTGGTACCTGTTGCCCCTTTCATGCTGAACGGAACGATTATCTCTGAATGCTCCAGCTATGTGTATCTAGTTCGAGAAGTCAACATGATGAACGACCTAGCTCCGGATCTGAGAAGACGGAAACGCGCGGCGTGGGGAGCATTTAATAGCATCGAGGGAGTAGTGAAGAAAACGAAGAACATCCAGCTCCGCGCCCTTTCGACACCGCGGTCCTTCCTGCTTTAACATACGCCTCAGAGACTTGGACTCTACGAAAGCAGGATGAGCATGCAGCGAAAACAATGCGCAGTGATAAGGACGATGCTCGGAATTTCCTTATACACGCAAGTGCAGGGTTCCAAGCTCAGGAATGCCGTCGACTACACCAAGAGATCGAAGATCAGGTGGGCCGGACACGTTATGCGATGTAATAATGACCGTTGGACCAGGGCGGTTACGGACTGCACACCTCGGGTTGTCAAGCGAACACCAGGACGGCTGCCAACGAGGTGGTCAGACTTTTTTCGCGAAAGCCCTGAGCGATAGGATGTTTTGCCCCGCGTCCCTCGAGCGAGTGCAATTCACTGGACCACTCTGGCTCGCGACAGGGACGAATGGAGACGTTACTGGCGCCCGCTCGAGCAAATCGACGACCAAGGTGGAAGTGCTCGCGTCTGTTTGTCTATCTGTCCGTCAGTCCGTCTGTCTGTCTGCCCGTCTGTCTGTTCGTTTTTTCGTATGTTTTTGTTTGTTTGTACGAAAATTTTGGAATTCGAAATAGGTTGAAGAAACAAGTGGAGAAGTAGGGACAACTTAGGAATGGGTTGAGCATAGGATATGTGCAACAGAGCACATGTGAGCTTAGCGGAGCCCCGCCCCCAGGGGATGGGGCATGCGCCGGAATTGGGCAAATTCCCCTCATTCGGTCTCATAACAGTTTAGACACCGGGACAAATGTGCAAAGGTGAGGAATTGGTCAACAATTAATAGAAAGGGAACATACCCGCGGTGGGCGGAACGTTCTCGCAGTAGGCGGTACTTTCCACAGAGAATCATAACTCGATTCAAGGAAGGCGTCGAGGCCAGGAAAATTACAAGGAGTGAGCAAGGCCTGATGC